ACCCGACTTGAATCCCTGGGTCACAGGTGGCGGAAAGAGAAAACAGACTACTGTAAGTTGTCCGCTGACCTTCACACATCACTGTGGCACCCTGGAACCTACATGTGCACGCGGACACTTACACTAGATAAATAAGTAAATCAGCATAATAGAAATAATAATTCAGAAAATAGCAGGATAACAAAACCAATAGCTTTTTTACTGCACATGAATCTTCTGGGAAAGAATCGAGATGACTATCAATCACATTAACAATAAGGGCCACAACTCTAACCCTCCTGCCAAAAAAAAAAAAAAAGGACTTATGAGTAAACCTAACCAGGGAGATGAGCGATCAATGCAAAGAAAATTACAAAACACTGAACAAAGAAGACATATAGACAAATGAAACGGATATTAAAATAGAAGGCCCATAAACAAGGTCACACACAGCTACCTGGGAAGACAGGTTCTGAACATACTGAAGAGCAAAACAAGATGCTTGCCTCTCCTGTACAAAGTCAACTCGTAAGTGGCTCAAAGACCTCAATGTCACACATGACATTTCTAAAACAAAGTGTGGATAAATACTCGTGATATTGGTCCAGGAAAAGGCATACTTCTAAACAGGACACCAGTAAGGAAATAACAGGAATTGACAAATTGCATCAAATTCAAAACCTTCTGCATAGCAAAGGAATCCATTTCCCGGGATCAAGAGAAAGCCTTGAGGCTGTCGAGATATCTCAGCAAGTAAAGGTGCTTGTCACCAAGCCTGACAACCTGAGTTTAACCCCCAAGACCCACATGGTGGAAGAAAAGAACCAACTTCTGCCAAAAAAAATAATAGTTTAAAACCTTATTTTCAATTAAAAAAAAAGAAACAATATACAGGATGGGCAATAATCCTCACCAGCAATTCATCCATCAGAAGATTAATAACCAGAGTATATAAAGAATGCCAAAAGGTAACACCAGAAGGAGAAACAACCCAACCACTAAAAATGGACCCAAGTACTGAGCAGACATGTCTCCAAATAGTTGTCTATGCCCAATCATTACATGAGGAAACATTCAACATCTTTAGGCATCAGGAAAATACAAATTGAAACTACATTGACGTTCTTTTTAACCCAGTCACGACGGGGCCAACAGAAAAACAACCACAACAGCAAAGCAGTGCTCGAGGGGATTCAGGGGTGGGGCAGGGATGAGTGTTCCTAGACTAGTGCTGGGAACTGAAATTAGTGTGGCTGTCATGGATGCCAGCAGAGAGGGTCCTCCAAAAGCCAAAAATAGAATTGTCACATGACCCAGCTGTAGCATCCCTGAATATGTGCCAAGAGGAATCAACATCGGCATATGCTGTTGATGCCTGAATGCGTCTGTCTATCATACACTCCTCATACTGGCCAAGGAACCAGCCTAGGTGTCTGTGATGGTTTGAATGAGAAAGTCCCCCTTTGGCCTGGGTGTTGGAATACTTTGTCCCTAGTTGGTGGTGCTGATTGGGGAGAGGGTAGGAAGTATAGCCCTACTTGAATAAGTATTCCACTGGGGAGCGAACTTTGAGAGTTTTAAAGCCTTGGGCCGCTTCCAGTTCACTCTCCCTGCTCCCAATGCTTGCAATTGAAGATGTGAGCACTCAGATTCTTGCTCCTGACATGAGGCTTGCTGCTATGCCTCCCTGCAGTGATGTGTTTTTATGTCTCCAGAACTCTTCTGTCTATAGATAAGTCACTTCTGCTTATGGTGTATCATTGAAGCAAAGAGAAGTAACTAGTACAATGTCTCTCAGTGGATGAATGTATAAAGAAAATGTAATTTAGAGAGACAATGGTGTACTACCAGCCATAAAGAAGAATGAAGTCATGTCATTTAAAGGCAAATGATGGAACTTGAGATGCTCGTGTTGGAGGAGCCAAGCCAAGCTCAGGAAGATAATGATCCCATGTATTCTTTCACATGGCTTCTCAAGGCTAAGTTAGAAGTGGAGAGGTGGCTCCACCTTAGGAATACTTACCATTCTTGCAAAGGACCCCAGCTTAGTTCCCAGAACTTTTATCAAATGGCTCATAACCGCCTGTAACTCCAACTTCAGGTGATCTGACATCCTCTGGCACCCACATGCACACACACACACACACACACACACACACACACACACACACACACATAACAACAACAACAATAATAAGTCATTTAAAGCACAAATAAATTAAATTAAATAAATAGATAAGACTTGGAGATACCAAAAGTCCTGTTATGAAAAAGAAAGAGAGCTGGAGTGATGAGAGAGAAAGTGGGGGCAGTGAATATGAGCAAAGTATGTCTTTGCATGGATTTCTCACCATTATTCTGTACAGCTAAAATGTACTTTAGAAACAAAACAACAAAATCTTCTGAAAGAATAAGCTTTACCCAAAGAGAAGTGTGGCTTTGCCCTGGGTTACTAGAGGAATTCTGGAATGTTCCCCCTGAGAGGAGTATCTTTCTTTTTCTGGGGCCTTAATAAAAGATAGTCTGTGTGTTTTAGGATAAGATTTGGGAACATTGTGTTCAGTGCTCACATCCGGAAAAACTAGAGACTCGACAGTTAGCCCAAACCTCAAGCAGCTGATGGAGACTGAAGGTCATCAGTGTAGGCAGGCTGTGGCTGGGGGTCAACAAAGAGCAGGAGCCCAGACACCTGAGCTTCCAGCCCGTGAGAACACAACAGCTTCTTTTCCATGTTGTGAGAAGGGCCACGCATCTCTAAAGATGTTGTAGGTCTAATGTTCGGAATGCTCCCAGATGCTCTTCCTGAACACTGTGCTTTCGCTTCATCCTGGGCTTTAAAAATACATATTAAAATGTCTTCATAAGCTCCACAGGTGCTTCAAAAACACTGCTCGTACTATTATTTACTCTATTTTTGTAGGTCTACCTATGTTTTTCTATTCATTTGCACGATAGGAATGTGTCCATTTGCTTCTATATGGGCCGCTGTTGTCCTTAGCATTCCCTCAGAATTCTCATTTCTCCAAGTTTGTAGTCCTGTGCTCCATTTTATTCCAGATTTTAGTAATGTGAGTCTCCTCTTTAGGTTTCTTGTCAGTGTATTTAGTTTTATCCGCTGTTGGACTTTTGAAAGAATCAACTTTTGGCTTCATCCTTTCTGCTTCGTATTCCGTCGACTCTCATTCTTTTCTTCATTGTTTCCTTCTCTGTTTCCCTTGCTCTGAACATGGGTTACTGTTTTCCTCAGTGTTCTTGAGGACGTCTTAGCCTGTGCTTCCTTGTTGTGTAACCCAAGTATTTGGTACTGTACACACCCCTCTTCACACCGACTCAATAGGCACCTGAGGCTATACACACCCCTCTTCACACTGACTCAATAGGCACCTGGGGCTGTACACACCCCTCTTCATAC